TCCCTATCATCAACATGTGAAATAATAGATACTGATTCAAACACGAATTTGCAAATCTTTTCTATTTTAAGTGTAGTATCTTCCCTAAAAATTGCATGACATGCTGTTTTTTAAATTCACCAATCACCACAGGGTAGAGCCACTTGTCTGCAAAGAATACGTTAGCCAACGACCTGTTTTGATTCCGTACCACAGAGGAGGAAAAAGGTTGCATATTGGATTTCAGGTGAGGGAACAAAGATTCTAGTACTATGGCTATTTTGGATCGTGATATCTGTCTTAAATAATGCCCTAAATCTTTATGTAGGAATTTACTGAAGACCTAGCAGTTCGAACTCACGCAATAAAGAATTATATGAAATCTGCAAGGGTAAGCCCCTCTTTTTTGTATAAAGGAATAAATGAGAGCAAGAGATGACAAAAAGTTTTAAGGTTAAACAAGAAGACTAAAGGTTTCAATTATAATTATATATTGATTTGTTATTATTCTTTCATGCTGCATTACTCCAATTTTCCCTCTAATAAAATGTCTTTTAGAATTTTGTATTGTTGCAATGGCTTTTGATACTACACGTGACTCACTCAAGGAATATATATAGATGGTTAATATAAAACAAAATACATTTTATCATGCGAAGTAAAATTGTAGTGGTTAATTTTGAATGTGAATTTTTTTAGTTTATTTTTATTGCTTTATAAGTTACTGGCTATAGAGTGGTGTTCAGCAATCTGGTGTTTTCGTTGTCAGGTTAGCAATTGCTGTTGAAAATAGAAAGATACCAATAAGCTTAGCCCAACTCATTATGGATAACGCACAATGTAATATTATTCCCTGACGTGCAAGATTAAAATTTGAAACAGAAGATACAAGGAATTTATGATGGGTCTATCAGATTGAACAGAAAAAGCACACACCGTGATATTTTATGTTCTACTGTTGTGCATGTTGGTGGTTGTAATTTCTGTTTTCTAAGCAGGATAAGGTAATCACAATTTGTCAGTCGAGGAAAATGGAGAACATGGAAGGTAATATAGTCTTCTAAGTTCCTTTTCTTTTTGGTAACTTTATCGAATTTCAAATTCATGAGTTTGAGAATGCTAGCCCCTTTAAGAACACTAATTTAGTAGTTGTGAAAAGGGATATTGTTATCTTTATGGCTTTTTCCACTTGCAGTTGATTTAGAAGGGTTTTTCTTTTGACAGTCATTTGATTGGATTTACTATTGTGCTTTTTTACCTGTATTGTTTTTCGATGTCTTGCCTCACTGTATTTTACTTCTAATAAGGAAATCTATTTGTAATCTATAATTCCCCACTACAAAATTGCAATTAACAGTAACGATGATACTGGTACCAGATAAATAGGTTGTAGTCGTTGTTGGCAGTAAGTTTCATTGACTGACTTTTGGTAAATATTATAAAAGGCAAACAAAACCAAAGACGTTTAACATTGGCGTGCTAGTTATGCAATTTTCTCCTCTTTTAATTTTCTATTCGTAATTATGTCTGTTTATGCTGAAGTTCTTCGGATTGTATTATAATTTTTTAATAATCCTTGAAAATAGTACTGAACTCGTTTTGTAAAACTTCAGAAGCATGCTTGCCAAATGCCGTGCTAACTCAAATTCTTGCCTATCTGTATTGTAGGGGAGAGTTCTGAAGAGGAAGAAGAGCCATCATATGGATCTTTTATGATGGAGAGGCTGACAGGAAGCAAGAGTGGACGAATTGATCACACGCTTCAGGTATGAAGTTGTTCCAATTAGCTACTGATCTTTCTTGGTTCAGCACTCTGGTGTCAAAAGTATTGTGCAAAATGAGAACACGCAACACAACTGATTTATAAAAATGTTTTAAAGGAATGGGAACTACCTTAATAATCATGCCTAGGTTCTTTCCAAATAACAGCTGCCTTTAGGTTCTTTCATTTAGTTTTCTGTCCGATATTTTTTTATTATTACTATTATTAATTTGAGTTTTTCTTCGTAAATTGTAATGCAGGACAAGACCTTTGAGCATCCATATCTGCAAGCCATTGGAGCACACACGTAAGTATATTTACAATTTTCTCATTCATGTAGTTATTTGAACTGGAACCAATGAGGCAATTACGTTATAGGTTTTATTGTTAGGTCACTGGTCGAGCTAGTCATTGTTTTTTTTAACCAATGCTTGTGTCATCCTGTGATCATGAATTCACATATGAAATATATTATTAAATGGTTTTGGGAAAAATGAAATTTAATAGAAACCACAACTTAGAAGATCCAACTCTCTGGCTGATGGCTCTATAGTTTGGTCACAGAATCAGACGCAATGTGACTTAAATGGTCTATTTCCTATGATTTTGTACATCTGATGCTCATCATATTCCATGTCATGCATTTGTTTAGTTTGGTACTTCTCCTCCTCTGCTATTTGCTCAGTATAAATTTCTTGCATCCATAAGAAAATGCAGAGAATGTTGAAACATGTAAGAAATTTTCTTCCCTTTTTATACGACAAAGCAGTATCGTATACCATGCCGCTTGACTCTATTACAGAATTGTGATTGTAATTTCCTTTAAGAAGCATATATACTATCTACATGCCAGAACAGTATTGAGGATATGTCTTTAATATATATTGGATGAGGGAATTTGTTTTGAGCTTTGGCTTTGACTATTTTTATTACCACAATGGGTGATTTTGATAGAATTGCCATACATTTGATTTCGCATGTTTAGTTTTATGACTAATCTATCTGGTGGACAGAAACTATTGGCGGGATTATGATACCGCTCTTTTCATATTGAATCACTTGTATCGAGATATACCAGAAGACCGCGATTCGTCGATTGTATCTAACGAAGACAACTCAAAATATGAGAGTACCTCTGCTGGTTGGCATGAACCGAGAAACACTGCTGAGGAAGATCTTCCGTTGACTTTCTCCGACAATGTTGTGGTCAGAAGCTTCTCGAGCAAAGCTAAGAAGATTCTGCAGAAGCGCACTGAGTCTAATTTCTAAATGCATGGCTTGTGGGCTTATCTGCTCTGCCATTATATTGAACATGCTCGCGTGAGATCTCCATGCATCTGGCGTTCCTGTTATTGTCTCTACACGTTGTAATTGAGATCGCGAAATTTACAAAAGAATGTATAGTAGAAGGATTCTCCACACCATCTTAGGATTTAGGATTATTTCAATTAGCTCGCTAGTTTAGTGTTAAATTAGACTCCTCCAATGTATGTAACAAAAGGAGGGAAAAATAAAAGAAAATCGTGTGCATGGCTATTAATATCAATATGAGGAACTGCACAATTCCTGGTGATAGTGAACTGAGCAGCATAAAGATTATTTGTTTCACTTGTGTCTGTTTGGTAGTAATTAGATGACTTTTTTTTTTTTTTTTCCCTTCCAGGTAGCATTTCAATGAATATTCTCACCTCTGTAAGACTGTATATAATGCAAGAGATTAAAAATGAAAAAGAATGTAACCGGGCTTCACTTGTTTATTTTACTTGGGTGATTCTAAATGTACGTGTTATCCCTAGGAGAGGGGAAAGAAAAAGAGGCAGAAAATTGTAGAGAAATGTGAATATTGTGTTTCCTTTTGTTTGGTGGTATGAAAATACGGAGAGTTTTACAAGAGCAAAGAAGCGAACTAAGTGTACAATGTAAGAAGAAAGTAGAATTATAAAGAAAGGATTGCATAACAAAATGGGTCACTTCTCCTCAAAGTCGACATCGATGATGTCGGGGTCTGACCTAGATGAGGAGTTGGTTCTGCCACCTCCTGAGAAGAAATCCCCTTTCCCTTTAGGTTGCCAGACGATGTTGCCACAGCCTGTACATCGAATTACTTGGTTCTTGTAACCGGCAAATTGCATCCTGCAAGCGGGACAAGTGCCCTGTCCGTCCAATTTCAATGATAGCATGTAGCATGTAGCATGTAGCAGCGAATGAATGTGAAAGTGATAAATCGTACCTTGATAACTAAGGTGTTGGCCAATGTCCCAATGAGAAGAGGTCCAGCGAATGGAAGTACCCAGGTTGCAATTATGAGAAAGCGGAAAAGCCAACCAGAGAGAGCGAACCAGATGAAGAAAAATGTCTGAAAAGAGAATGGATGAGAATTGAGAAAGTGAAATAGGAAATGGTGTTGGTGTTGGTGTTAGGTATTTACTTACAGCAAAGCTCTTCCCCAGGGGACTATCGAGAAAGCTGCCCAGCTGCTTCCTGTACTGCAAAATACGAATAAAATGAGAATTAGAAATTAGAATGAATGATGAAATAGAAAAAGGAAAAAGTACCTTGGGCCAGTTTCTCTGGAAATCGATGGAGAAAGTGCGGTATCGCTGTCCAATCTCCAAGTCACGGTCAATCTCGCGGGCTCGATCGGCGGCGGCCCTGGCGATGGAGGAGAGGCGGTTGGAAAGGGAATAGCGGCGGTCGATGCGCTCGGCAGTCTTCTTGGCTTCGAAGAGGAAGCGCTCAAAGCCATCGTTGGCACTTCTCCACGCCTCTCTCCAAACCCTATCCATGTCTCTGCCTTTGCCCAACGCTTTCACTACCATTCTCTCTCTCTTCAACTCCGCTCCCTCAATCCTATACCTAACGCTGCCTCCTCTCCAACCCACAGGCACCGTTGTTGCCATCATCTTCTCCTTCCTCTCTCTCTCCAACTCACACCAACGCTTCTCTCATTCCCTCTCTCTCCTTTTTTTTATTACTCTATTTTAATTCTACCTTTTTAACATTATTTATTTTTTAATCATACTTACCTCATTTTTTATTTTATTTAAACATTAATTATCATCTATTTATTATAAAATAAAAATAACACATTTTTTTATTTCTCAATTTATATACTTATTTTTTTTATTTCTCATTCTTGCTCTAGTTTATCCATAATTAATACACTTGCTTATCATAATATAATTTATTTGAATTTATCATAAAATGCTTAGGATTAAAAACTATGTTTATCAAATAAAGGATATGATAGTAATTAGAAAACATAAAATACCTCATTTTAAAATTTAGGAAAAATATTAAGTGAAAATGTCCTTTTATTTTTGTTGAGAGGTTCCAAATTTTCTTCTTAAAAGTGTACAAACATTACATAGACAAAAGGCTTTAACTAATTGCATGGGCTGAAGTGTTTTAAAATATTTGGTAACTTTTTTTTTTTAACCCAACTTAATTAAAATACTCCAAACTCGTCTTCAAGATGAATTAAATTATCATTTTATATATTCTGAAAGGTATAATTATTGTTCTTAAAGTAATAAGATATTCACTCACACTATTTAAAAACATTTATAATAAGAGTTAATTACCTATATATTATTAGTGTAAATTTTTTTTTTTACCGACAATCAATTATATCTTTTAATTATATCATGTCACTATAAGTACATTTATTTTTAACAGTGACATGACACAATTAAAAAATATAATTGATTGTTAGTGTAAAAAACCTTTATACAGATAATGTATATGTGATTAACTCTTATAATAATTATTTCAGAATAAAATTAGAATGATCCACCTATTTAGTCATTAAGTTAAACTATTTTTGCAGGGATAATAACACTTTCACATGGATAAACAATTTTTAGTTTCAAGCTTTGATTCGTTTCTGTTTGTTAATTAACCTTTAACATTGTTATTGTGAAAAATCACTATTCGATATCATTTAATACAAAATGAAGTACAAGAGTTCCCATTTTAAACTAAAATATTTGAATTTGATTGAAAAAATATTTATGATTATTAAAACATGCAAACAAAATGATTGATCAAGAAAGAATTATTGTTCTCATTACAAGTTTGTGATCGGATCCACATATATTTGGAAAAAAAAAAATCTTTGAGAATAGTAACAAGGAAAAATGTTCATCTTTGAAAATTTTTAATTTTTTTATTTAGGTTCAAAAATTAAATATCTATTCAAGTTTTTTTTTTTTTTTACTTTTGTAATTAATTCCTGAAGTTTGTAAAATATCACAAATTGTTGTGTTTGTCTTGATTTCAAGTTGAAAAATTTAGTTTCGAGATATCAATTATAAAATTTATAAAAGATTACAGGTTTAATTACAATTTTTATGTTTGGAAATACAATTAAAAATTTTCAAAAAAGTCCAAAAAACTCACTAATGTATTAACTATTAAATCTAAACATTAAATAATAGTAATTGTTAATTTCATACAATAACTAAAATATAATGTTGAATCTATAAAGGTTAACTTGTAATTTTAATTTCTTTACTAAAATATGATGTCGATTAAATTATATTTTTAGTCTTTTTTTTTATTATTTTTAATCCTGAATTTCGGTACGTAATTTTGTTCTAATCATCAAATTTATATATATTGACTATTTAAATTTTGAAAAATTAATCATGTAAAAAATGAAAACTTACCAATATTTTGTATTGTTATATTATTTCATGCATGTGACATAACAACTATAACTTAGGAAATTATGTATTAAAGTATTAAAGGTATGCATTTATCGATTGAATTAAAATTGTGAATTTTTAAATTTAAAAGACTGAAATTATGTAATTAATACTAATAAACTAAAATTGTGAATTAAGAAGAGAAAAAGTGTTTTTTTTTTATATATTCTTTTATATAATAACTAAAATGAAATTTAATTTTCATATAAGAACTAAAACATAGATTTATTTATTATTTATAAGTCATATTTGAATCTCATTCTACATCCATATTTGTTTAATGTCATTAGAATGGATTCAAATGGAAATGTAAGGTAAGTTTTAGATGAGAAGTAAAAATTATTATATAAAAACCAATCCACAAATAAATACCAAACATAAAGAGTTCAATTATTAGCTTTATGACTTCTATAGAATAGATAGAAGAAAACGTTGGCCCTCGTGAAAGACTTTTCTGCTCATTCAACTAGTATCATTTTTGGTTCTCTCTCGTGAAATTAGTAGTTTCTTTTTCTTTTAAGGAGGCCGAAAACGAAAAGTGGTATTCTTTAGATTTTTTTACAAAATTATGGTTTAAAATATATTTTTTACTTAGGGCAATTTCTATTATGTGTGGGACATTGTAATATTTCTAAATGTGATGATAAATAAACTCTCAATAATGTGATAATTATTTGTTCAAGTAAAAAATATATAAATTATACAAATAGTCAAAAGACTAGATTGTTCTTGGCAAATAATAGTAGTCTATTGAAATTTCTTAATCACGAGTAAAATGACTTTTATTCTTGTAGTGTGGTGGTGAAGTATGAAAAAATGAACCACCAATTATTAATAATTAATAGAATTAATAATAATAATGAACATATGGTATATGTGTGTGCCACGTGTAGGTCTCAACCGAGGAAGAAAGATATTTTATGGCAAGCCATGGGGTTCATACTATAGAGTATAGAGTATAGAGTATAGAGGCATTGAATATTATTTTTAAATACTAAATGAATTTCTTATAAAAGAAAATGTGAAGTAATAAAAAAAGTTGACATGTTGGGCGATGGATCCCATCTAAATCTAATCCAAGGTTTGTAAAGAAAGGAAGAGATGGCGAGAAATGTAATGCACGCGGTTCAGTATGACGCCTATGGCGGAGGTGCCGCTGGATTGAAGGTTTCTTGTCTCTTTGTGTTTGTGTGTTTTTTGGTGTTCTTCAATTCAATTGTCTTTTAATTTGTATGCAGCACGTTGAAGTTGGCGTTCCGAATCCAAAGGCAAATGAGGTTTTAGTGAAAGTGGAAGCGATTAGCATAAATCCCGTTGACTGGAAGATTCAGAAGGGTGTTCTGCGTCCTTTATTTTTCCCCGGAAACTTTCCACACATACCCTGTAATTAACTAGTATTCTTAATTCTTATCTCATCCCTTTCACTTTTATAATTCACTCGCTTTCATCAGGCACTGATATCGCTGGAGAGATTGTCCAGATCGGATCTCAAGTCAAAGATTTCAAACTCGGTGACCAAGTCGTCTCTAAACTCTCCACTCGAGTAATTCAATTCCCTCTTTCTCTCTCTTACTCTTTCATCATGCTTTCTTCTTTGCTAATCACTAATACCAATTGCCCCTTGGATGCAACTATATTCTCTGACTCTGTCTGTCTGAAACCTAGTACGACTGGGGGTGCCTCTGCCAAATGATTTATACTATGAATTATGAAATAAACATGTTATGATCTAGTATGTTTATATTTACTATGGTTACTTTCTGAAGCCCATTTTGTGCTGGATGACACAGTATGGTGGTGGATTCGCTGAGTTTGCTGTGGCTAGTGAGAGCTTAACAGCTGTCAGACCATCTGAAGTCTCAGCAGCTGAAGCTGCAGCATTACCTATTGCTGCTCTCACAGCTCGTGATGCCCTGGCTCAAATTGCAGGAGTTAAGCTTGATGGGACAGGCCAACCCAAGAACATTTTAGTAACTGCTGCTTCAGGGGGTGTAGGTCACTATGCTGTTCAACTGGCAAAACTTGGAAACAACCATGTCACAGCCACTTGTGGGGCTCGCAACATTGATTTTGTTAAGAGCTTAGGTGCCGATGAGGTTCTTGACTACAGGACTCCAGAGGGAGTTGCACTGAGGAGTCCATCTGGTACGAAATATGATGCAGTTATAAACTGTACAACTGGAATACCTTGGTCAACTTTTGATCCTAATTTGACTGAAAAGGCTGTGGTAGTTGATTTAACGCCTAATCCAACTTCGTTGATGACTTCTGCCCTGAAGAAACTTACTTTTTCCAAGAAGCGTCTTGTGCCTTTTTTTGTGGATGTCAAGCGTGAAGGCCTGGAATATCTAGTTCAATTATTGAAGGATGGGAAACTCAAGTCTGTTATTGACTCCAAGTTTCCTTTGAGCAAAGCTGAAGATGCTTGGGCTAAGAGTATCGATGGCCATGCTACTGGAAAAATCATTGTGGAGCCATAAGTATAGTTTGCTTGGAGTCGTTGTATTTCTAGTTTCTACATATCTGGACAGGGTTTGTGTAAAGCTCATATATATATGAGTCGTTGTATTTCTAGTTTCTACATATCTGGACAGGGTTTGTGTAAAGCTCATATATATATGAGTCGTTGTATTTCTAGTTTCTACATATCTGGACAGGGTTTGTGTAAAGCTCATATATATATGAGTCGTTGTATTTCTAGTTTCTACATATCTGGACAGGGTTTGTGTAAGTATAAAAGTTTTAGTAAGGTGTATTGATTTAATCAAATGTATTGATGAAACTTTCGAAGGGTCGTTACTATTCCCTAAGTTAAGAATGAAAACATTTTATGTTATTCTACGATAACATTTCAATTTATAAATTAAGACATTATCAATAGTTATGTTATTTTTGAAAATTATACAAATTATTTAATACTTCCAAAGATTAAAATAACGTTTATAAAATTTAAATAAATTAACCAATCTTACAATTATTTTCTTTAAATAAGAATTTATTATTATTAAAAACGGTGTTTAATTTGTAAATTTCTTAACTCGACTTTTCCTTTGAACAAAATAAATAAATGTTTTTTTAGTTTGTATAATTTAAATATTTTAATTTTTAGTTTTCATAAAATTATTTCGAAAATTTTAATCCCCAAGATACTTTTTTTTATTTGTGTTTTTTAGTGCTCGACTTTACAAAAGATGCATTAAATGATTTGTGTTGTTGGTATTTTTACTATAAATGGTTAATGTGAAGATTTTATCTTATCATTTTCCTTGCCCTCTGTGGTTGGTGGGAACTGCAATTCACATCATTAAAAGAATTCATGGTTTTAAATTACAGTTTCTCTCAAAGAAATTTAATTTTTTAATGGTTAATGATAACTTTTATAGTTGAATCAATGGAAGAATAAAATAAAGCATTTGCAAGAATGGTAGTGAATGAAATATTTTTTGTTTTATTTTTTAATTTGACTTAAATATATTTTTATTTTTTATTTTTTATAATTTGATATTTATCTTTGTAGAGCTTAACAGCTGTTAGACTATTTGAAATTTTGTTTTATTAGTCTGTTTAAATTTTTTTTCCTAAAAATATATATATTTTTACATAAATGGTACTAGTATTTTAGTTTGTGGAATGGATAAACATATTTTTATTATATCCAATAAAATATAATTAAATTTACAATAAATTTTATATAAAAAAATATAAAAATTATATTAAAAGTAAATATATATACATATTTTTAAACATATAAATTATATTTTAAATTTATGATAAACATTTTATATTATAATGTTTTATTTATCAATAACATATTTTAAAATATTAATATTTAAATAATTATAATTAATAAATAAAACGTTAAAAAATTCTCTATTGTGTAAAATAAATAGTTATATTTAATATATGAAAAAGTGAAATACATACATCACACCATCACTTAACAATTTTTTTTTTTTTTGTAAAACAATAGAGATTAAATAAATAGATTTAATGCGTCAATTATGTTTTTTATATTTTAATAATTTAGTTGAATAGAGATAGTGGTTTGGACGCGGAAGCAGTTGTAATTTGCAAGGAAGAAAGATGGCAAGGAATGTGATGCAAGCGGTACAGTACGTGGCCTATGGAGGAGGTTCCGCTGGATTGAAGGTTTGATTTTTTGTTCTCTGTTGTTCTTCAATTGAAATAAACCTAATTAATTTCGACATTGTAATTTGTAAGCAGCACGTTGAAGTTGGCGTTCCCAGTCCCAACACAAATGAGGTTTTACTGAAAGTGGAAGCGATTAGCATAAATCCCATTGATTGGAAGATTCAGAGTGGTGTTCTGCGCCCTTTGTTTTTACCCAGAACCTTTCCCCACATACCTTGTATGCTTCTACTCTCTGCCTTCCTCCCATCGCATCGCATTCACAACTAACACTTTTCCATCACCAGGCACTGATGTCGCTGGACAAGTTGTTCAGATTGGACCCCAAGTCACTCATTTCAAAGTTGGCGACAAAGTCCTCGCTAAACTCACTCATCAAGTAATTCATTGCTCTCTTTCTTTCACTGCAAATTGCATCACCATTCCATGCCATGTTTTTTTTTTTTTTTTTTTTGCTAATCCCTAAATCAATCAAGGACAATGAGGTAATTATGATTCTTCCTCAACCACCATCCTAATTCGCTGTTTCGGTAACATCTTTGACGATTAGATGGAAAGTAGATACGCTTAGTTCACTAACGAGGCTCTGAATAGTTGTTCTTGTACAAGATACTCATCGTTATTGCTCTTATATCTTTATCTCTTCTATGTCAAACTATCACTACCAGAACATAAACATACGCATTGTCTTAGGTGCACCACGTGTTTGCCACTTACTTGAACAATAACACTTTCTTAATCATATAACATTAAAAGGGGCGTCCCAAAGTTTCATGCTCCTATTATTGTGGGTTTCAGGGTTTTGACATATGCAGCCTTACCCCCTCTGCCCTTTGAGTGGAGAGGGAATTTTCGCAACTAGATCATCAGGTGACAAGGCAGCAACCTTACACCTTGCCGGGGCTTATCCTCTCTTAGTTACATAATAATATTACTGCTTCAATGCTTTTCTTTTTGTTTAAAACAATACACTACTAGCTCCTTGAATGGAAGTATATTAGGTGTCTATCTAAAGGCTAGTAGAAATGCAGAATATATGATGGTGCCAAATGATTTCTAGTGTGAAATAAATAGCATGTTACATTACAGCTGTACTTGTTCCAAGTTAAAGAACCTTGTCCAATTCATACTATAGTATATTATTATCCATAATGGCTACTGTCTAAAACACATTTTGTGTTGTATATGCTGAATGACAGTATGGAGGTGGACTGGCTGAGTTTGCTGTAGCTAGTGAGAGTGTAACAGCTGCCAGACCATCTGAGGTTTCAGCTGCTGAAGCTGCATCATTACCTATTGCCGGACTCACAGCTCGTGATGTCCTCACTCAAATAGTAGGAGTCAAGCTTGATGGGACTGGCCAGCCCAAGAACATTTTAGTAACTGCTGCTTCAGGGGGTGTGGGTCACTATGCTGTTCAACTAGCAAAACTTGGAAACACCCATGTCACAGCCACTTGTGGGGCTCGTAACATTGACTTTATTAAGGGCTTGGGTGCCGATGAGGTTCTTGACTACAGGACTCCAGAGGGGGCCGCACTGAGGAGTCCATCTGGTAGGAAATATGATGCAGTGATAAATTGCACAACTGGAATACCTTGGTCAACTTTTGATCCTATTTTGAATGAAAGGGGGGTGGTAGTTGATTTAACACCTAATGCAACTTCGTTGATGACTGCTGCCCTGAAGAAACTTACTTTTTCCAAGAAGCGTCTTGTGCCATTTTTAGTGGATGTCAAGCGGGAAGGCCTGGAATATCTAGTTCAATTACTGAAGGATGGGAAACTCAAGTCTGTTATTGACTCCAGGTTTCCTTTGAGCAAAGCTGAAGATGCTTGGGCTAAGAGCATTGATGGCCATGCTACTGGAAAAATCATTGTGGAGCCATAGGTACAGTTTGGAGTTGTTGTATTTCTAGTTTCTACATATCTGGACAAGGTTTGTGTAAAGCTCATATGAAATTGAATAACTGGGAATATCGTATGCTGTAAGGCTTTTTAAGTTAGTATTGTTGTCTTTTGACATCATCTTATTGGTTTGTATATGACAGAAAGCTTTATTGGGCAACTTTTTTCTCGTGTCCTACTTAGTTGTGTTTACAGGAAACGGTTTAAGAATTTAAGACGAAACGTGTAAAATGAGCAGATTCATAGAACTCCACGGCGATGAGTCTTAACACTGGACCTCCTTATAATGAGCAATAAGAATTTTAAATTCTGATTGGGTCTTTTTCTGAAAGATGCATAGGTCTGATGCAAGGCAACATTAAGTTGCTTCTCGATTAGGTGTGAACATTTTTACCTTTCCTTTTATCGTGATTGAATTAGCACTTTTAAATTTATTTTTTTTTATCGACGTTAAAATCTTGATAAATGCCTAGTTTTTTTTTTTAAAAAAATTCTCTTATGAGGCTCCAATTGACAAGAACAAGCGATTATTTTCCTTAAAACAACCTAAACCAAATATGCACTTTGTATCTAACAAACTAGTAATCTCCCCTGCACTGAAGAACACTCGTCTAACCTTTAGTTGGTTTCTATGTTAATTGATATTTATTCTGTATTCTAGTGATATAAAATGATTCTCTTCTGATCCAACATTTTTATCATATTACAAGCAGAGTTCAAGTTTTCTCACTTGAAAGCAAAATAATGGATGAATATGGATTTTATTTGTTTGAAATGGCAACATTTACAAGTGGTCTTTGTTGTTTTTGACTAAAAAGGGAATGCGGGTTTTGTAGATTTAATTCGTGATTAGACTTGAAAATCAGTGAGACCGCAGGAGTTCCCATGAAACAAGGGAGGGTCAAAATAGTTGAAATGGTATTTGAGACGGAGCAATGAAGGATTAAGAGGGCGTGTAGAGGTGAAGGATCTGAGGCAAAAGCCTCGCCCTGGATATTAATTAAGGAATAGGGGAATTAGAATTAGAATTTAGCAAGTCAGTTAATTGAATCTTCTCGTTTCACTAGGGGGATAATGTGAGAAACACTAGAGAAAATGCGTGCAATCTGTGAGAAATAATGAACTAATCATATTAGCACGTACTATATACCTAGAATACATTTGCTGCTTCTGTTATTTTGTTTGGATGTCTTGACAATTTTAAAAAGTTACTCAGGCAAACTAGTTCTTTTGATCATAAGAACACGACATTTCTTTCCAATCCAATGACTTGTCCATGGTGGATCTCGCGACACGACTCGGTACCCAGCATTTGCGTACAATTTTCGAGCACCTAGATCTTCTTCATAGGCTCGAAGGGCAAGAAACTCAAAACCCCACAAAATGGACAGCATGTCACAGGCTTTCAACAGTGCAGTCGCTATTTTTCTCCTCCTGTTCCATCAATTACTTTCGTAAATATACGCTTCACAACAACACAAGGAAGTTCAATGTACTAATTATCAAATTGTGCTTAATCACCTGAAAGTTTTGGAGACGGCTATTCCTGATATGTAAAGGTACTCTTCAGCTTCGGGAGGAAGATGCTGAAGCACGTTTTGGTCTCTTAAGACAGTGACATCTATGACACCTACAAGTTGTTTTGGTGAATCTGGATCGTTTTCTGCTGGCTCAGCTACCAAACAAGCATACCTGAATAACATCATACATTAGTGGTTAACGTTTCACTTGAATATGCGGATTTGTAATGATAAATTGCTGAGATTTCAATTTGGAAATCCTTTGGCATGAATGCATGATTGTTGTAGTTGCATATCTATTGTACAATTATGGTTATCTCATGCTTCAGCTAAGTTCTTCTTAAGTAGTTTTATAAGCTCGCAAATTTCATAACTACAATATTAAGAAGCTTGCTAAGAAAGAACAAATTTACCTATTAGGAGGTGAGTTTTTGAGCTTGTAAAGGAGCCCCGAAAGCACTTCCGCCTGTTTGGGTCAAGGCAAGACAGCAAAAGGCACACAGATTAATTAAGAGGTGGGTGCCTGAGAAAATATAAAGCTTTTATGATACTAACAAAATTTCACAGTCATTCATAATTTTTTCATACACATTCAATATAAAAACAAGAGTTATTTAGCAACATTATAATTTATTCTTGTTAAATCCGATACAAAAGATTAGTAGTTATAAGTTAGTGGTTATACTATACATCATATAAAAATGTATGATAAGATGCCACCCTGTTGAATTGTTGGTATTTGGTAACAATACAATTTCCTAATTTCATTCGGTAGTAGACGTATTTTATTTAAGCAAATGCATCTTCTAAGTAGACAAAAAATGAAGCCATATTTCTTTGATTGGAAAAGAAAAAGGATAGAAGCAGAACCTGAAAGAATTGGAAGAACAAGTCATTGAAAAGAGAGACAGGAACATGGAATGCTTCTGCTTGAACTTGAGATGCCTTTCTTATCTCATCTGCGTTTTCAAATAGTCTCCTTACTCTCCACCCATATTCGCACACTAAATACTCGAACTGTTGCTTAAGCTTTCCACTGCTACCATTCTCAATCTGTAACCTGATATCCTGATCAGCACAAGGTAATTGTGAACTCCTTGTGCTGCTACTGCATTGCAACACTAAACCACTCCCACCACTTCGGCTTTTCCCTCCCACTATGTAACACTCACTTTTGGAACCTGTTCTGACCCCATGCCCCAAGTTTGAGCAAATAAGTTTATGGGAAGCATTGGGGTTGCTCGCCAGTAAATGAGCCATACATGCACAAACCAAACCAAGACAAGCAAGGTTAGGCTTAGGCTACATATCGCAGCTTGCTCACTTCACATTTGGTTTTGGTTGATATCACAAAATCCATTATAGTATTCGGAGTGGGACCAATTTTTGTGTGGCCTCGCTTACTTTTCTTATTGTGGCTGCCAATTATATACACATCCATAAGACACGTGCAGTCATGTCAGCCAAGAAAACTACCATTTTCATTTCAACATTTCATACTAGAATCTCAGTCTCAAGTTTAATTCCAATTCCACTCCATCTTCACAAATCATATCCTACGTCCTGCCAACACGATCAAAATTTGCACCATCTTCTATTTCTGTTTCATACAAAAATATCAAATTCTCAATATTGCCCTCATTTTCCGTACATAACATCAAAAGCAACCACATTCCTAAGCATCCGTAGCCATCGCTTTGGTTAAAATGTTTAATCTCTGATATATTAAATGAGCAGTACCGCTTTTTAACAGCAAAAATAAAAGAAATCAAGACAATAAAAAAGTATTATTGCAAGAGAAGTGTTTACGATTAGGCTACAATGTGCCTTATATACAAGAGAAAATGAACTATTAAGTAGCCTCTAAACAAGTGTTTAATATAACTAACCATAACATCTTAATCAATTAACTTAATGCTAATGCCCCCCACAAGGTTGAGGGTGAGTGCTTGCCTTTATAACTTAGGATGAATAAAGCAAGACAAATCACAATGAGCAAGCCAAAAAGTTATATCGACCAAATATAATTCATCCATCATATCGTAAAAGTCATCAACAATATCAATGAAGCAAAGACTTAATCACCTAAAAATGAGATGCTTAAATAACATTAACAACAATTGAAAAAGAGGCTTAACTACTCTAGCGAAAACCATAATTATACACTTATGTACATAAGATACATAATTTATTTAATTATATATTAAATTTTATATGATTCTAGCATTTACACATTTGGCTTCATACGACGACAATATTTATTTACAAACTTTTGCATATTGATTAAATTGCTTCCACTAACCCAGGTTATGGGATCTGTGACGGTATAACTGGAGATGTTAAGTAGTGTTAAAACGTTGAAAAAGGAAAAAAGAAGACCTTGATTGATGCTATGTTGGTTGAAGAAGAACGTGTTAATGCTAATCTGATTTCGAAAGGAATGGGCATCATCAACAACAAATGCAGCGGCGAAGGGACACATGCATCACATGCATCATCAACCAAACAAACATTCTCAACACTGCATCTGTGTATAGTTATATCAACATAATCCCCTAGGCGTTTCTAACATTAGGCCCATTATCTACCTTTAGTAACTTTGAATTTTAGAAGATTAAAATTAAAGAATAATATTCACAAATATGAGAAGGATGAAAAATGTTTTTTTTATAAAGAAACTAAAATTAAATTTTACTCATTATTAAGCATTAAACTTAATACTAAAGATATTAAGTTAATTAAAAAATAATTTTTGATATATATATATATATGCATGGATTGATTGTGTAATCAGTATGCAGTATGCAGGTGGTAAAAGGTAAAAGCAATTGTGTTAAAAGAAAAAGGAAAATGAGAGCGTAAAAGTAGAGCAGTTAGTGTTGACGAATGTTGGTTTAGAAAATAGAAACGTACTATTCTATTTTAGTATTTTAGCGTAGAAACTAGAAAGCAGCATTTATCTTGATTCTGTGTCTGAGGATCCGTAATGGCCGAAAATGATTCAAACCCTCCTGGTCCTCCAGGCGCTGCACCGGCGGTGGAGGTTGAAGAGGAAGAGAAAGAGAGGGAGTCGTTGAAGGAGGAGAGCAATAGGGTTTCGGAATGGGAGAGAAAGAGCGTGGAAGAGCTGAAAGAGGTTCTGAGAGAGGAGTTGAAGTCGGAAGGGGAGGTCTCGATCTGGGGAGTCCCTCTCCTGAAGGACGAAAGGAGTGACGTGATCCTCCTAAAGTTTCTGAGAGCGCGAGAGCTGAAAGTGAGGGAAGCTCTTGTGATGATTCAGAACACCCTCAAATGGAGGAAGGACTTCAACATCGACGCCCTCTTGGACGAGGATCTCGGCGATGACCTGGACAAGGTCGTCTTCATGCATGGGCACGGCAGAGAGGGCCACTCCGTCTGTTACAACGTCTACGGAGAGTTCCAGAACAAGGACCTCTACCAAAAGGCCTTCTCCACCCAAGAAAACCGTACCAAGTTTCTCCGCTGGCGGATCCAGCTCTTGGAGCGCAGTATCAGGAACCTCGATTTCTCTCCCGGAGGCATTAACACCGTTTTGCAAGTCAACGACCTCAAAAACTCTCCCGGCCCTGCCAAACGGGAACTTCGACTTGCCACCAAACAAGCTCTGCACTTGCTTCAGGACAACTATCCCGAGTTTGTTGCCAAACAGGTTCCTTTCTTTCTTTATTTTTTTTAAGTTATAACATTTTCCTTCTCTTCTAAATCTAAATCTCATTCAATGCTTCAGGTTTTTATCAATGTCCCGTGGTGGTATCTTGCTTTCTACACCATGATCAATCCCTTCTTGACTCAGAGGACCAAGAGCAAGTTTATCTTTGCAGGCCCACTCAAGTCTCCCGACACTCTTTTCAAGTAACTCTCCAACTATCAATCGCCATTTCCAACTTCTCTTTACCTTTCCCTATCACCTCACTTTCCATAAATTGAATAGGTATATTTCTCCCGAGCAAGTGCCCGTTCAGTATGGTGGCCTCAGTGTGGATTTCTGCGACTGCAACCCCGATTTCACTGTGTCTGATCCTGTCACAGAACTTCCCATCAAGCCAACCACCAAGCAAACAGTGGAGATCGCTATTTATGAGGTGTCATTGCAACTCTTCCTTCCACTGCGTTACACTAGACTAGATACACTCATTCACGCTCCTGTCCTTTGTTATTACTCTCTCAATTCAACTATCTTGGTATTTTGCAGAAATGCATCATTGTTTGGGAGCTGCGGGTGGTGGGCTGGGAGGTTACCTATAATGCTGAATTCAAGCCTGATGCTAAAGATGCATATGCAATTATCATACAGAAAGCCACAAAGATGTCCCCCACTGATGAACCGGTGGTTTCCAATACCTTTAAAGTTGCTGAACTGGGAACATTATTGCTCACCATAGACAACCCTACCTTGAAAAAGAAGAGGCTTCTTTACAGGTTCAAGATCAAACCCTTATGTGATTGAGACAAAATCACCTCTAGTGTGAGTGTCTCTGGGTATGTTAAGGAAGCTGAACTTGGAGAGTAAGAAAAATGCATGCCATCATTTGTTGAGCCCATTCTTCGTCTATAGTTTTGGTCCTGAGTTGTTTGCCGATTGTCTTTCTCTGTCTTTGTTGTATTCAGCACTTTATTGCTAGACAAACATTTTAGCTAGCCTAAATTATTCTTCTATTTTCTGGCAAAGAACAATGTTGGGGAAGAGAGTAGCGCATGAAAATGGAGTTGGTTTGTGAAATTACATTTATTTCCAGAATTATGTATCACTTTGATGGGTGAACCAAACCACCATGTAGAAAGCCTGGTTATGAGAAGTTTCAATGTAAAATTTTGTTCTTGTATTTGTCCTGCACGGAGTTTGGTCCAATTATAAGCATTTTGAATGTCCTAGATGTGTAATATAGAAGGAGTAAATGAGAAGTATGCCTGATTTCTATCCTGTTTCTTTTTAGCTTATAATTCTTCATTTTATTATAATATATTTCTATTTGATTTTCATTATTTTTTTAAATGAAGTTAGAACCGTAAATAACTTCAGATTGATTACTTTCAGTTGAATATTGCAGATGCTTCAATTGTCTTTCTTCTTGTTTGAGCTTTTACTCTTTATTTGTCGATACTTTGGTTCTTCTATATTGTTATTGACTTTTTTGTGTTTTACCTGGGAGTGGAGATGATAACTGGTTGAGAATATAATTTAATTCATTGGATTTGACTTCTTCAAAGTGCATACACTATAGAGGGTAAAGTGTGGAATGATAACTGATGACTGAAAAATCAATAGTTAAGATTTTAACTACTTATGAATTTATATGCATGTACATGTATTTTACACCCTTTCGACCATTGATATTTCAATCAATGTCTGTCATCCGCACTTCACCCTTGCAGGTGGGGGGAGGAGCCAAATCCTTATTATCATCATTTGACCCTTTGTTGCATCTGTAGGCAATCAGCTATTGGTCATACTTTTTGGACCTAAACCTCCTAATAAGTATATATAGTGTTAATTCCAAAAGTAGCTAATTTGTACTTCCGCCTAAGTCCATGACCTCTAGTAGGATAGACTATGTTTGGTTCTTTCTGCCTCTATCATGCATCGCAATGGGGGGAAGAAATGCATATATGGATTCTTATAATTAGTGAATTGGTGTCCTTTTATTTCATTAAAGTTTCTTTGATTGATGTTTACTTGTCTCTTATGTAGTAGTTATGTTATGCTTAAATTTAATGAAAAATGTGTAAAGTTTAATTGTTTTAACTTGACTATAGAATTTTCATTATTAAAAAAAGTAAAGGCCACATAATTTAGGTTTTCTGGTTTCCATATCATCGTCCTGATTTGGAGTAATCAACGGTTAGTTAAAAAGCCAAACTGATAGTGATATCACATCCTCATTATGCAACATGATTTGATATGAATTTTAATGCATTAGTAGCTGTCACTGTGCAACCCTTGTATTCTGCTTTTGACAAAAATTATTAGTTTGAACCGAGTGTATGTTCAGTATAATTCAGATAAAAGTAGTTATGCATTATAATTGTCATAACTACCAACTTGTTTTTTTAAGTTGACATTTTTTTTATTAGTAAAAAAGATTACAATGATAATAATGAGGATAGTTAAATTCTAATGCATCTATTTCAACTTTTATCAACCTTGATGATTCTTTTATGTTATGTGAAGGGTACTTTGAAGGTAAAACATAATACAAGTATCAGTATATGACTTACACTCCCAAGTTACTGAATAATGTGTTTTCTATTTCTCTCAAGTCTCAATTCCGTGAAGGTGTGTGAGAACTTTGTGTGATTGTTTCACTTTGTACAAATTCTTTAGGATTCAGCTTCTGAAACCAGCTTTTGAATTGTTTTAATTTGAAGATGATTTATTTTGTTTAGTTAAAATCAGCATTTGAAGAAGATATGTCAGAGGACTTTTAGAAAAGTTGATTTATAGGATTTTAAGTGCCAAGTTAGGAAAAAGGTGTAAAAGAAGTTGGTCCCCATTTGATTGCTATTTTTTAGGAGTTATCTGCAATCGTATGCTGCCATTTCACTGGTGTTGTTTCATGTTAGATATAACAACTACTTTTGTGTGAACCAAGGATGTGTCTTGAGAGTTAAAGATTAACTATTTTGAAGTGCAAAACGATTAGATATTTTTTATTTATCATACTAATTTTGCTGATTTTTATCTCTTTATTATAATCTTAATTATTGTAATTATTTTAATAATTTATTTTTAATAAAATATTGATCTTAAACCAATAAAGAGTTAGATTTCAAACTTAATTTAAAAATTATAATTATAATTGTTTTAAAATACTTTTTGCCCATAAAATTAAAACATTTATATATAAAAAAATTATATAAACATGTATTTTTTTATCTTTCATATTTATTAATTAGATTGACATTTAATTTTTTAAGCACTTATAATTTAATAAGTTAATTTATTAATTTCCAAAATTAGTTCAATTAGATTTAAACTTTTTCATTAATTTATTTGTAAACGTAGAGATCAAAATTCTAAATCCAACCTTGTACAAAGTTATAGTCTACATAAATAATAAATTTATCGTGATTATTTATACTCTCAAATCACATGATTACGTTGTACAAAACTTATATATATATATATATATATATATATATATATATATTATGTCATATATATATTTATTGTTATGACATTTAGTGCAATTTATACAAATTTTATTTATTTTGATATTCATTTTATCATTACAAATCATAATCTTATCATAAAAATGACATCTTAGTGAATTAAGGGAGAAATTTTTTTATAATTTATTATTGGTCTTAATTCTTAAGCGATATGATAATGAGGATAACTATTTTACATATCAAAACAATCTTCTTTCAGTTGAGTGCTTAGATATAAGAGTAACTTAAACTCTTCATTTAGTATCAATTTTGGGGTGTGAGAATGAATATAATTCATGATTCTTAAGGTCTTCAATCTTTCCATAAAAATAATTGTTTTTATCCTATGTTTCTTTCATGTCGTTAACAAAGAAACATTCATGCTCTATATGTGTTGATATCTAATATAAATTAATGAAGAGGTTCGTAGTTAGTGATTATCTGTATCATTCACGAATGTAATCTATGGTTCTTAAGACTCTAAATTGACATCTAATATGAATCCATGAAGAGGTTCTTAATTAATGGTTACCTATATCATTCATAAATGTAAATTGTGATTCTTAAGACTCTAAACCTTTCTGTAAAAATAATGGAGTCTTTATCCGTTACTTCTTCCGTGTAGTTAACAAAGAAACATCAATGTTTTACATGTATTGACATCTAATATAAATTTATGAAGAGATTTGTAGTTAGTAGTTACTTATATCATTCTTCAAATATGATTTGCAACTCACTCTTCTCATCACTTCTCCATCGCATTTTACTTTTATTTTGTTTTAATTTGAATTTAATGTATTTTACCTTATTAAAAACAAAATTGATTACTAATCAGTTTAATTTTAATCAAAGAGTTAACTGATTTTTTTATATATATTATCAACATAAAATTAATTTATATTATAATTCATTATTATATTAATATCAAGATATTAATTATAACAAGTAATTACGTTAACATCTTTTGAGATTTTGTGAAATTGTAAACCCTTTTATTATTTTAATGTTTAGGTAATCTCTTTTATAAGATTACATTGTAATATTTTTTTTAATAATTAAGAAGAGTTAATTTAATATCTAAAAAATATATATGTAATGCTTTTTTTTTTTTTAAGAATTAAAGATGTTACTGGATAGGTAAAATTATTAAGGAATATGTATACAGTCTCATGAATTTTATGGTATCTGGGGATAAAATGGGAAATTTATAAAAATTGAAGAGAAGGGGATGAGTTAGTTGAGCTTTCAATGTGTTGGTGGAGTATGTATCTGGGGTAGGTGACATTTTCTGCTTTCTTCTTTTGCTTGAATGATGGGTTTAGTGCGCAAGATGGTTGCAATCATTATGTTTGCTGTTGTTAAAATAAAACCAGCTTCTTTCCAATGCTGCCTTCGAGTTTTTAATATTGGAAAGAAAAGCGAAGGAAGTTCCAGTCCAGTTGTAAATAAATCATTTCAAAACGTGGCAGGGAATCAGTCTTTTTATAGTACAACGTTTTCAAATCCTTATCATTTGTCTATCCCATAATGTCTTTCGTCAATTCCAAGTTCCAACCGCTATTGTTTTATATTGTTTTGTTGCAGAAGTCGGGGACTCTTCATTCTCATTTTCAAAAAATTAAAATACAATACAACTTATTTAAATGTTTATTCTTTAATACTTCAAAGCTTGTTTTTCTTATTTAGTTTGTTTAGAAAAAATTAGAATACAACTTAATTATTTTCTCTCTCGTTAATTTAATTTTATGAATTCTCTATTTTAATTTTAAGTTGTTACTATCATTGTGTCATTTTCATTCAAGAAATTTTAAGATTTTAAACTTATTTTCAAAACACAATTAATCAAGTAAGATTTTTAATAATTTTCTTATGTAAAATAATTCAACAGTCAAATTAAAAAATTAAGGAGCCCTAAATTCCTTATCTCCACCATTTATTTAGAATTTAGATCGTTTGTATTTATTTACACTTTTTATGTGAAGTAAAAAAAAAATCTTTATATATCTCAACATTTTTAGTGATAATTGAATTATTCTCTTGAAAATAATTAAATTAACCTTTTGTGTCACTATTTTATCCTTTTAGTTCATATAGATGAATTTGGCGATATAATTATACATTTATAATGAAATAATTTTTAAAAAATAATAAAAGACTGAAATGACAATATTTTAATATTTGAACAATTAATTTAATAACTTTTTTTTTAAAAAAAAGTTAATATATAACACCTTGATAGCCTATCTAAATAAAAAAATATTTTTTATATTTTTATTTCTCCAAAAAGTCGTTGATCAGAGATTGAAAGTCTGAATGTATAATATTTTAAATTTTAGATATGGAAACGGATTGCTAAAAGAAGGCTAGTTCTATCTTCTTTTTCTAATTTCATATTTTATTTTAAAATTTGTTTGAAAAATTAGTGATCAAGACTATATGTTAATTAATTTATTAATTTTAATATATTTCCATTTTCTGGTTAATTCTACTATAAATAATGTGACCATTTATTAGTGAAAAGAGTGTTGGGATACAAACAAGTCCCACATCGATAAAATATGACAAATAATAATAACTTATATAATACAAACATACTTCAATGATTGAGAGGCCTTTTGGGTGATGACCAAAAGCAAAACCGTGAAGGCTAAGGCCCAAAACGGACAATATCTCATATAAAAGCCATAATGTTCTATATAAAGACAGAGGCCTTTTGGGTGATGACCAAAAGCAAAACCGTGAGGGCTAAGGCCCAAAGCGGACAATATCTCATCATTATAATATCTCATTAAATAACTCATAAAATATCCTCTCAGACAAATACCATAAAATAACCCCATCAAAGAGTTTCCTTCAAGTTCTACCGGTCTTGGACTTCAGTTTAAAACTTGAGAAAATGCATATTTCTTCAGTAGTTTTATGGCGTCAAATTTCTTGGAGGCCCATTTCATGACACCCTCACTATGAACAATGATCATCATCTATCACATCAGATCTTTGGTTTAGTTCAAAACCGATGTTACTCATTCTCATCATCTATAACTTAGTGAAATTAGATATCCAATCGAATATGGTGTATTGGTGATAACTTTGACTCTTTGTAGTCATTTAGACATTGATTTAGAGCCTTTGCGTGGAAGAAATTGTGTCACTTCCTAAACTTGTCTTGAATAGATGCAAGTGATAGTCCTACCACCAATTTACTTAAAATTAGATAACAAAAGTCATGTGAAGAAGGGCAAATCTTCTTGTTTCCGTGCAATGTAATCCGGATTAACTTTTCTAAGCTCTTAATCTTTATAATTGAGAACGGATTCTCCACAAAATGTATCAACGGATTCTCCATAAAGCATTAAAAGTTTATGGCTTTGAAATATCCCTTGAATTTGTTGCTTCCACGAGAGAAAAGTCTTTTCATCAAGTTTGATACTGATTTGGTGAGAAAGATATTATTGGTGGCAAAGTTTTAGAGATAAAAGCAAAAGGATTACTATCAACAACCATGACAATGGACCTTTCCAGCTTTAGATATCATGTTAAAATCAAATAAATTGAAAGAAATAGAAAAAGAAATCAAGACAATAATTGAGGAATTTGTTTTATTTTCACTGTATTTGTTGTGTACAATTAACTAGACGATTATATACAATGATCTCCAGTTGGCAATCAGTGATAACATTGATCTAATCCGAACTAACTATTTGACAAATGTCTAACCTTAACTAATTGAATAACTATTAGATAATATGACTACTAGACCTAGACTATGCTTACACAAACTCGTACTTCAACAATATTCATCAAAATAAAGCATCGTTAGTTTCTAATTTACGTTAAATTTTATAAACTAAATTTACTTTATTAGAACTTTCAATTGAACAATTAATTTGAGTAACTTCATATAAGTAATCTAAGTGTAAAAGTTTGACACTAGATATCAATTCATCCCACTATATATAGAGAGAAAGAAAGAGTATATATATCTAATAGGAAGATTATTTTCATATAAATGAAAAGAGTAAATCTAGACATTACATTCATATGCGGATGATAAAAAATTAATCTTAAAAATCTCACATGATTGTTTTAATTTTAATCATTTATAATAAAATCTGATGATTAATCTTTATTCCTTTCACTACTTACGCACAAGTTTCTATCACTCCATATGTTCCCTGTGCGTGTTCGCATGTGACATAAACTATATATAGTATCACCAAAAAAAGAAAAATACTATAAAAGTGTAGGTTTTTCACATTTACTGTCATCAATAACTTTGTATAGTACAAATGTTACAAATCCAACATTTAGATCATGTGATGTCATTTTATTAAATATGCATATCAAATTTTAGAAGAATTAAATATTTATTGATACGTAATCTTAAAGTTTACATTTACTTATATTTTGAAAAGTATATGATACATTATCTTATAATTAAGATTTACTTGTATTTTTTTTATGCAATAAGTAACAATGAATTATGAATTAAGACCTCATTAAAATTACTCATACACTGCATTTCTAGACCGACTTTGATGGATTATTTACTTATATTTTAAGAAAATATATTAAACATTAAATTAAATAAAATTTAAAACCTAATATATAGAATAAATTATGAAAGTGCTAAGTATAAAAATTTAAAACTTATCATAATTCATCGTCTCTGTATATATGAGTATGTATAGTGTTTTAATAAGGAAGAATAAGCAGGCAAAACTAGGAAGCAGTAAATAAATTGTGAAGTATAAGGCATTGAAGAAAAAAACAAGAGAAACAATGAAGTAATTTGAATTATATACGGGAATAAGGAATACATGATCACATTAAAACGAACTTTACAGGCATAAGAGTATCACAATGCAAACAGAGGAGAAAGACATAAAATTTTCATGTACAAATGAGGCCCCAATTTGTGTTCCCTCCTTCGGCCATTTGAGAAGCAGCAAAGGGTTTATCCAATTCGAAAACCAAATAAACAAAATACGAAATTACGGCAGACTTGAAGCAAAATAATGTATATAGGAAATGAAGAAAATAAGCCGGTATGAAAGAATCAAGTCCCCCCACCCCCCGAATTAAGTTACACAAATGTTTTTAATGAATATATAACAGTCACACATTTATTTTTGAGCTTGACATTGTCCTTCAAGTACCTCACTCTGCGGTGGCTTTGGTCTTGGACCTGTAGAGGAGTTTCTTCTTCTTGGATGTTTGGTTATCTATGGTGAGTACAACCTTGCCAGCTTCACCAATTTTGAAGCCATTCGTAATTACTGTCTCATCCGTGGAAGCAATTTTCCTGCTCTTCTGCACTATGACAGTGTATCCATCCTCAGCACTAGGCACAAATTCAGCTCCGTAGTTCACTTCCCAACCCACCACTCTGATTTCCCAAACTAGATGGCTTTTCTGCAGTGCAGGATGAATAACATGTCTCAGAAGTCAGAAACTAATAATAATAACAATAATAAGAATTGATTGGTGGGAAAAAGAGTTGGTGACCTCAGAAACTGGGAAGACAACGGCATGTTTTGATGTGGGTTTAATTGTAACCTCCGTAACAGCGTCAGCAGCAGTGAATTCCTGTTCAGCCTCTCTGCTGAGTCCTCCGTATTGAAGCGGCACTAGCTCAGGAGCTATATACCTGTAAAGTGGCAAGTGGCAAGTGGCAACCAAAGATTGATATGAGAATGGAAGGGAGGGTTTGGGAAATGAGAATTACTTACTTGAAAAGGGTTTCAGCAGATTTGGATGGGCCAGCAAATAGAAATTTGCTCTTGGTCCTCTGAGTGAGGAAAGGACTGATCATCCGAGAGAAGGCAAGGTACCACCAGGGAACATTGATGAATATCTGCAGCAGCAAGCAGCAAGCAGCAAGCAGCAATGAATAGCTAATAGCAATGAATAGAATGAAAGAGAAAAAGAGTGAATAAGAAAAGACCTGCTTGGCTACAAACTCAGGGTAGTTATCCTGAAGCAGTTGAAGGGCCTGATTGGTGGCCTGCCTGAGATCCCTCTTGCCGAGGCCAGGAGAGTTTTTGAGGTCGTTGACCTGCACAATAGTTGAGATTGCAGTTGGAGAGAAGTCAAGGCTTCTCACGCTCTTCTCCAGCAACTGAATCCTCCACCTTATGAACTTGTTCCGCTTCTCCTCGTCCGAGAAGGTCTTGTTGTACAACTCCTTATTCTCGAACTCACCAAACACGTTGTAGCACACTGGATGCCCTTGCTTGTCCTGTCCATGATTGAACACCACCTTGTCCCAATCGCTTCCCAGATCCTCCGCCACAAGACCGTCGATTCCGAATTCCTTCCGCCACCTCACCGTGTTCTTTATCATAGTCAATGCATCCTTCACCTTGAAATCCCTCGCTCTCAGAAACTTCAGCAGAATCACATCGCTCCTCTCGTCCGCCAGCAGGGGAATTCCCCATATCTCCACTTCTTCCGCCTCTTTCTTCTCTTCTGTTACTTCTCCTTCCTTCTTCTCCTCTGTTCCTTCCACTTCCTTCTTCTCTTCTGTTACTTCCACTTCCTTCTTCTCTTCTGTAACTTCCACTTCCTTCTTCTCCTCTGTTACTTCCACTTCCTTCTTCTCTTCTGTCTCTGTCACTTGTACTTCCTTCTTCTCTTCCGTCAGCGTTACTTGTACTTCCTTCTTCTCTTCTTCTGTTACTTCAATTTCCTTCTTCTCTTGTACCACTGCCACTTGTGGTTTTTTCTTCTCTGGTTCTGGGGCGGGGGCCTTGGGAGCAGCTAGCTCATGTTTGTTAAGCGCTTCTTGAACAAGCTTCTTGAGTTCATCAAGGGCCTTCTTCTGTGCTTCAGGAAGGTCGGCAACCACGTTGGTCTCCTCCTTGAAGGAAACCGATACGGAAATCTTGTCTTCATGAGCCTTCTCTGCTTCTTCGATGATTGCAGGTTCGGCTTCAGCAGCCTTCTCTTCAGGTTGAGGTTGAGGTGGGGGAAGAGGATCAGCAACGGGCAGCACTTGTTCGGCTGGAGGTGGGTTTTGGGGTTCCTCGGCCATGGATGGATTGGAAGAAAAAGAAAGAAAAGTTGAAGTTGAAGTTGAAGTTGAAATTTGAAAGAGAAGAGAAGAGGGGTGGGCGTGGGCGTGGGTCTATAGACTATAACTAAAAGAGAAGAGACTGATTGTTGTATGATTCTACAAACCAGTCTGTCATGCCAGCAGATATACACCACTTTGTTTCTCCCTTGTGGTTGTGGGTCCCCACCCCATCATTTTTTCACTTCTAACTCCATACCAACCCCTATTTTTCTTTTCATCTTATGCCACCTTGCATACCAATTTTAAATTATTTTTTAATATAACGTACCTGCTTAAGGGTACACTCGTAGTCTTTTAGGGTGTAGGAGGACCGAACGAGAGCTTTAGGTGAATTTTTCGGAGGGGGGAGGTACCTGCAAAAGGCACTCCAACGCTCAAGTCAGGATATGTACGATTTTTTAGGGTAATAAAATGAACAGTGACCTACCTTGTTACGTGTGACCTATTTATAATACCTGACATGGGCCTGAGCATGGTGGACCTTCTCTGACATTTACCAAATTAGGTAATACGATGTTAATCGGCTGATTATGTCTTAATCATGTACTTATCCTTACTAATTATAATCGTCGTTCTAATAGTTCACCTAATGGCCGAGCCGATACAAAACGGCCGAAACGTCCTCTCTCGGCTTCTGGCCGAGCCGATAGGGGAAGAGCACAGTTCTTAGTCCCCTATCGGACCAAAGTGGTATTCGAGCAGTATCATCTGATAGTATATGGCATGCCGGTCCACATGGCCGATCCACGTGGCCGAGCCGAGATGTTACCTGAGCTGTGTCAATATCTGATAGGACATGACGTGCCGGTCCACGTGACCGATCCACGTGACCGATAGGGTCCTTCCGGTACAATAACATTTCTAAATATACTTTATGCTATTTTTCAATTTAATAAATCAATTTCTTAATTAAATTTAATATTATTCCACTTTAATTATTAATAACATTTTATTCAAAAAAATTTAATATGTGGCTAAATAATTATGATTCCTTTATCTACTATTCCTATAATTACCCCCCCGAATAACTTAGTGGGATAGGATGGGAATCAATGACAACTTGATTTTTAAAATAATAATCATAATATCAACGTCACAAAAACGTTCCATTGTCTCCATTCGCAAGTAACATTGCTTATAACGTTTCAATGCCGTCTTATTTTTAACATCATTTAAAAATACAATCAAAGTTCAAATTGTGGCAAGCTACAACTTTCTCCCTTTTCATTTTAAAATATCACTAATTTTCAGCACGGCTTTATCAATTTGTAAAGCCTATGGCTGAGTTCCAGCTTCGCGTAACATCCAAGCAGTTGTTGAAGGAGACTGACTTGAGCCATCCTCAGAAGTCAGAACCCATGCTAATTGCTAAAGTTGCACAAAAGCCGCAAAACCAAATCCAAAACCAATCTTTTGTTTTTTTTTTCCCTTCTTTTCTTAACGTCTAATTACACTATTGCTTTCTGAACTTGTTTATAGATAAATGTTTCTTTTGGGCTCTGCAAAACTACTTTACTTATTCACAAGTATTTCTCACAATTTACAAACCATTTTTAAAATTATTTAAAAATAGATTAAAAAACCACTTTTTATCCACCAAGTTTTTCTGCTTCAAAAGACATATATTGATCACTGAAATACAAAAAATAAAATAAACTTAATTAACCAAACACTTTTTATTTCTAAAAAAAATACTTTTCATTTATTATATTATTTATTAGATTTAATTTAAATTTACTTTAATTAATTGAATCAATTTAATCTCTCATCTTTAAAATGTATTTCAATTCACTTCTTCATTTTTGTTAATAAATTTATAAATTCATTTAATAATTTTATTTTAGTACGAGGGATGGAGCCAAAACTTTGAATTAAGGTTCATTTTTTTAATACTTACATATAAATATTTTAATATTATAAATAATTTATTATTATTTGTATTTTTTTAAATCTCATTTGATATTGCATTATATATATATTTTTTTTTTTATATTTTTATTTTTTCTTTTCATAAAAATAATTAACATGATAATTTTTATTCATCAACTTATAATTTTTAAAGAGGTCTCAAAACAATTTTTGATACATTTTTTAAAAAATGGGAACGTGACCCTTCAAGTTCCCCTCCCTCCACCCCTTGTTAGTACAATATTTAAAACAACTGTACATAGCCTTTATTATAAAAAAAAGTATATATGAAAAATTATTATAAATAAGAGTGATCATTCATTTTGGTTAAAATTTTGCACTACATATTTAATAGAATTTAATCTCTATACATGAATTAAGATAATTATTTTGAATGAGAATATTTTTAAATTTTATTTTTCAACAAAACTATTTTAATTTTTTTATGAAAACATTTTATAATTTTTTCAATAGATTATAGATATTATTCATTAAATTTAAGTTTATTTGAATTGATAAAATTATTATAAACAATATATTTTTAATATTTAATATAGTTATATAATTAAAAGTGGAACTGGAGAGTAAGCTGTGACGAGAATATAAAGACAGGAAGCAATGGTGGCGGAAAGAGATAACTAAAAGAGAAGAGATTATCCTCCCTTTCAAATTTCAACACCCTGTCATCTCCGACCCGATGCCAATGCATCAAACATTTTTTTTTAAAGACATGATTAAAAATGAATTTTAACAATTTACTTTATAAACTTAATTATAAATTAACTGTGTTGTATTTAGGGGTGGGTACACCAACTAATCTGACCTGTTTAAGGCCCAACCCGTAAAACCCGCGTTTTATACGGATTTGATAAGTCCGGTCCGTAAAATAAATAGACTTATTTTTCAAGTTCGTATCCAGCATGCCAAAATTCGTGGATAACAGACCGGTTCACAGGTTTAAATAATGGTTCAAAAAAAAAACAAATTTTTAAAAAATAAAATTACATAAAATTAGAAGAAGAAAAAAAACTTTTTTATTTATAAGCTAAATTTCATCGCACTAAAATTTATCAACGATTAAAATGAATTAAAATACTAAATATTAAAATATTAAAGTAAAAATAATTACAAAAACTTATATGATAGTACCAAGCTTTCAATAATAAAAATATTAAAATATCATTAATTTAAATAACAAATACATACCAATTAAACATAATTTTAATATTATAATAATTAAAAAAATCAAATACATAACTTAATATTAAAGTCTTAATATTTAAAAATATTAATTAATAAAGTTTACTGACTAGCTCACAAACCCACATATTAAATCTGCCAAATCCGCAAATAATCATATAAATTTTAAAAAATAAACCCGTTATATAAAATTCGTGAGCTTACGGACCGGAGACACAGGTATATCTACCCACCCCTTGTACTTTGTCAATAAAAAGAATTATTATAAGAAATTTGTATTGTGTCTCTGTCAAAAAAAGAAAAGAAAACAAGGGACTTTACTTGTCTTTTGGTGTGGTGGACCCCACGCAGCACACAGCACACAGCTTTGCTCTTTCTCTTTCTTCATCCTTCAAGCAACCAAAACTCGTTGGCTCATAATCATATTCTCCTTCGCTAGCTGTCTTATTCTACTCTTCTCCTCTCCTTCCATTTTTTCTTTCTATTTAGACAATTATTAGTTTCTAGACAAAACCCAAAACGTCTTTAACACATTTTATAATGAGAGACAGAGAGGTTACGTGCTTAGAACTATTTTCGAATGACGAGAGAGAGAGTAGTGCTTCTCCAAACCTTTACTTGCATCAACCCATTTCATATATTAAGCGTCCAACTTGATTGCCACATTATTTTATATTTTGTATATACATTTTAATGGATAAGTCTCAAATTAGTGATGATCGAATAGAACGAGATATTTCCTGCTTTCGCTTTCCTTATAATTTCCAAGTTTCTTCTCCTCGGATGTGCTTGTTTACCTTCCACGGCTTCATTCGTTCAACCAATATGCGTATCTGACTTTTCTTTTAGTATCAAATGAATCACTTTCATTTTGTTTTTAAAAACATAATAAACTTTACTTATCATCTTCTTAGCCACCTGTTAATCTAATCATATCCCCCGGCCGTGTGACATTAACAGCAACATGTGAACCACTAAAAACAAAATCGATCGCCTTCGCCTATATATTCAATACATAACCTTACACTCTCAACTACTATAGCTTTCAATTTGTCATTTATACTCCTAATTTAATTTCATTTTTTCAAAGATTAAGAAAAGACAAAATCACCTCAGCAAAAATAAATCTTAAATTAATTATTTTTTCTGTTTACAAAAATCAATATAGTAATTTATAAATTGATTTGACCAATTTATTAATTAGTTTAATTAAAATAATTTTATCTAATATAAGACCTTAATTTAATAATTTTTAATTTGTTTTCAAAAGATATTAACAAAAAAAGTTAAAAATCGAAAGATACTCCTATTACTTTTTAGATTATAAGTTACTCACGAGTTTAGTTTAATAATTTCTAATTTATTTTCAGAAGCTACTTCCCTTATCTCTTAGTTTATAAACTATTAGTTTTTTATTCATTTTTCTCCTCTCTAAATTGTTCTAAAAGTATTTTTTTTATTAATTAATCATTGCGTTATTTAGAGATATATTTATAACTTTATTTAATAAGTTTTAATATAAAATAGACTTTTTTTTTTTGGCCCAGTCAAACTTCTAAAAGGACTATGGTATATGTAGATCTAAAAAAAAGAAAGTAAACAGAGCAATCAAAATTTAAAAAAAAATGATTTAGTAACTAGACCTAGATTAAGTATTGTAAAGCCTAGTATATTGTAACCCATTTCCATCCCTAATTAAGCCCAATGGCATATTTGCAATAATTTTTCATTCAATAAATCCATGTTAAGAATTATTTTTCAGAATTAAAAATTCCAGACTCCAAAATTTTGATTTTTTTGTTTTCATTAAAATAATTTTTATTTTAATATTTTTAATTTATAACACATTTTACACACAACTATTCGTACCTTGTACAGAATATTATGGCAAAGCAAATGCCTATTGACTAGGCCTGAAGGTTTATATATATACAATACAAATACAAATACATACTGGTACCTTAAACAGAAGACAATTTTTCATTCCACATGGTGAAGATAAAAGTGACGGAAGAGAAGAATTGACTAGTGTGGCCTGATTCCTTTGTGATTATAAATGTAAGATTTGGCAAAGCAGATGAACAAGGCCAATCCCATCGCACTGAGTCCAGCAAGTAGCCAGTAAAAGTAGTCAACGTGGGCCTTATTCAGATTATTAGCAAACCAACTGTCTTGTCCATCTTTCCCAGTCACATTCTCTATCACAGAAATGAGGAAGCCACTTATAAAGCTCCCAACACCAAAGATGCTCAAGTAGAGAGCAAGACCCATGCTTCTTAGTTCATTTGGGACCTGGTCATAGAAAAATTCCTGCAGACCAACCATGGTAAAAACTTCAGAGACTCCGAACAAGAAATATTGGGGAATCAGCCACCATATGGTCATTGGAACAGTGGCATTAGGTTCATCAACAACACCGGACTCCCTAGCTGTTTTTAATCTTTTCATCTCAACAAAGGCCGCAAAAACTATAGTAAATATGGATATAAAAATTCCAGTTCCAATTCTCTGCAGCATTGTGATGCCTGAGGGTTTGCCAGTGATAGCTCTTGCCATTGGCACAAAAAGACGGTCGTAGATGGGACTGAAGAAAACAATGCCGAGAGTCATAAGTGTTTGAAGAGAAGCAGCAGGTATGTCAAAACCGGGAAATATTGTTCTCTCCAAAGTAACCCCTTGCTTGGTAAAGAACGTAGGAACTTGAGCAAACACCACACCATAAACCAGAGTTGAAGCCCAAATAGGAACCAGCCTCAGTACTGCTTTTGCTTCTTCCACCTCACTAAGGCTACAAGTACTCTCCTCTTCTATGGAATCCTCTGCCGCTAACAATGCTTTGTTCAGGAACCTGTCAATGTGGTTTTTAGTCAGTTTAAACAATACTCACGCCAAATTCCCATAAAGCTGCTCCATGTAGCTTCCTAAATTTCACTTTTTAATACACGTCTTAGGCACAGAACGAATACATGGATAAACATTTCCATGAAAATTTGGTTAAATGTTGTTATTTACTACAGTTTACTGCACAAGACTATAAAGGAACTTGCATAAAGGGAAAAGGCAAAAACTCAAATTGGACTGTAAGGTTTTTGTTGTTGTTGTTGAATAAATTTGGATTATAGGGTATTCTATCATGTTTGCTGCTTTAAGAATGCAAATGATAAGAATGAAAAACAAAATGACTATCTTCAAACCAAGCACAAAGTAGCATTGTGATTCTTACTCGAATTGTTCAGAACTTTGATTAGGAAGCATTCCACCATGTTCTGCTTTGACAACTGTGCTTGATAGGGTGGTTTGCCGATTTCTTATAGCAGCAACAAATACACGGCCGATTCTTAGAAAGGGGTTTTTGTCACTCTGCTTAACGTTAAACCTATAGGTCATTGTTCCAAGCAAGAAAACAAGCAATGCAATAATCATGACAATACAAGGAATTCCAAATCCAAGAACCCAACTAAGATTGTCTTGTATATAGTTCAAGATCCAAAGAGTTGCAAGGCAACCTGCACACATAGTAAAATACCACCAATTAAAGAATGTGCTTCTATCTTTATGTTCCTTTGGATGTTGTTCATCGAATTGATCTGCTCCAAAAGCCTGAACACAGGGCTTATGTCCACCCTGTCCAATGGCGACCAAATAAAGAGCCACAAAGAACAAGATTACTTGCGACTGAGAAGAGCATGATTTTAATTTATTGCTGTCTTCGCACTCAGAATTGGTGAGAGAAGGAAGCATAGCTGATAGTGTTAACAAGCCTAGTCCCTGTTATTCATATTATGCCATGGATCAGCATCAAAATAATGTAAGAACACATTGTTCAGAATGAAAATCCGTTCCTATATTTTTTCTAAGACAATTTTTTCGTTCATAAACAATCTAATCGATGTATTTCTTTTTTAGAAAAAACAACTTAATTTTCCTTTCACTAGTCACTCAAGCTCCGAAAAACAGAAACAAAATGAAAATAAGTGAAATCAAATCCTTGTTTCAAACTTTAAACTATTATTTTAAATAAACCATACATAAAATGAATGCATAAGCTTTTCTTTAAGTTGTTCATGAGCAAAATAGATTTCAATTTCAATGATTTGGCTTCTTTAATTAAGAAGAGCGTAAAATTATGTTCAGATATAGGAGTAAAGCTAAGCCACCCAAGTCCAAACAATTCACAGTTCACAGATAATAACATCGTAAAGCTTGTTAAGGAGATCCGTGTGTCTAAACCAGAAAGTTAAAAAGGACGAGGCTTCGTGTAGAGAAAAAGTTACATATGAATGAATAACCGTGGTGTTTGTGGTTTCTTTTCATAAAGGGGGAGTTACAATTTTTCGTTTTCCATAAAAGAATTACAAACGTTGCCATTCTATTCATTTATACTCATAAAAGGGATACTTTTTAACTAACTTGATCTTCACCTTTTTTATTTATTTATTATTATACTCTTTTATTTAAAAATAAATAAATTTTTTTATAATTAAATTTATAAACTTGAAACTAATGGATTAATCATGATATCAATTAAATCAATATATTCTATACTAATATATAAAGGGATATGTTTTTTCGATAACTACCTCGATGTTCACTTTTTTTTACCATTATACCTTTTTATTTAAAAAAAAATTCAAAATATTTTTTAATCAAATTTAAAAACTTAAAACTAATGAATTAATCATAATATCAATTAAATCAATATATTTTTATTATTTAATTTTTATTTTATTTTATTTTTAATAGAGACACGAAATGCCTCGACCCCACTAGTCTTCCAAATTATATTTTTGATCTCTCAAATATAAAATATACTTTATTCTAATTTTTTAAATTTAAAATTTGTACTTTTAGTTTTTTATAATTTAAAAAATAGTTTTTATTCTATTATATATTTTTATCTCTCAAATTTAAAATATATACTTTTAATTCTCAAAATATACAAAAATATATTTTAACCTCTCTACTTAAATGTTATTAATAAATCTATGTTATAAATTTTTTTTACTAATATTATTTTCGGTGAAATTATCGTGTTAAATTAACTATACGACGTAACTTCTTCAATTTATTAATGAAAATTATGTTATTAATGATTATGTAAAATAATATTTTTTAAAATTACAAAAATTAAAAAATAAATTTTAAATTTGAAAGATTAAAATAATAATTTTTAAATATTATAACTAAAAAGATTGTTTTTAAATTTAAATGAAAAGAATACACAAAACTAAAATGATATTTTCAAATATTATGAATACTAAAAACATAAATTTTAAATTTGAAAAAAAAAATTACTCTAAGTTTAGAGAATTAAAAATACATCTAAGCTTAAAGGAAAAAAAATTAGAACATCTTTGCACCCATGGATATGGTCTTGCAATTTATTTATTTTTTTTCTGGTACTATTGCGAATGGTGCCAATAAATTTAAATCTAAATCTGGACCGAGGCTTAGGCTTACTATCCATTTATGGACAGGTTAGACTCAAGAGGCGTTGGACTATTTTTGTTGGGAAATTAATTTGTGGCCTGAAAAATCATTAGATCTTATTAATTTATATAAAACAGTATAATAGTTAAAATAAATATCATAATACAAAAAATATAATAAAAATAAAATAAAGCCATATATGAACATCAATATATCTTTTAGTATAACGTTGAAGTAATAAATAAATATCGTAAATAGTACAGTAGTTAAAATAAATGGTGCCGTATTAGTGGAAGAATGGAAAGAAAAAGGAAAAAGGTAAAAAAAAAAAAAAAGAAGAAAAAAAAAGGTTCCGAAGAAGAAGAAGAAGAAGAGAGAGGAAGTGACTGACCAGAATATAGATGAGGGAAGCGAGTATTATAGTGCGGTAGCGTCCAAGGAGAGAATCAGCGAGAAAAGCCCCAAATAGAGGAAGCAAGGAAGCAGTTCCAGACCATACATTGACATTCTCAGCGGCGGTGGCCGTAGTCTGACGAAGTGGTCCAGTGAGATAGGATATGAGGTTCCCCTGAATCCCGTAATACGCAATCCTCTCCGCCACTTCCACACCTATGATAAACCCAGCGGATCTCCACGACCCTGATTTCGATCTGATGGCTGCTCCACCTCTGTAGTCAACGGCACCATCTACAACAACCACATCTTCCTCTTTCGCCATCCCTTTACTCAATACTCACCCTCGCCCCCAACTCTACTCTCAACTCTCAACTCTCAACTCTCAACTCTCAACCATATATTACTTCTTTTTCTTTTATTATTTTTTTATTTCATTTTTACTCACATACTACAATTCATTAATCATTTCAAATTACAATTACTTACATTTTATTACTTTTAAATTCAAAGTAATAATTACAAATTTACAATCTTCTTTTTTATTTTACACAATTGTATTCCAAACCATCTAGCCTACTTTAGAATGCCTAAAAATTTTAAGTGAAAGTTTAATTTTTGTTTTTAGTTAAAATATTATGAAATCATAAAACTTAGTACTTCTATATTTTATTTATAAATTTTATTAAAAAAATTAAATCATAAAAATAATTTTAAAAAGTAATTAATATTTGTTGCTCCAATTAATGTTATGTTTCATCTTCAAATTTGAAGATGTTCAATTTGAACCTAAAATTAAATAAAAATGTTAATTTTTAATGAAAAAAAATATAATAATCTACTTAAATATAAATATCAAGTAGTTACTAAAAAAGAATATTTATATATAAGTATATATAACGGTTTGATTTGATGCAACACATTAGTCTTTGAGTACAAGTCGCTGGCTCCTTTCTATGTCAAGTATATTATATTCACTGTAATTTTTTAGAGAGAAAAATTAAATAGTTAATTTGTTGAGTTAAGAATTGACTTTCTGGTGTTATTTTTATTTTTTAAATTTAAATATAAGATAAATTTATTTATAATTTTTTAGCATTATATCTTTAAAAAAGTTATTTAAATCACTTTACTTAAATATTATTAGTGAATATATTAAACAAAACTCAATGTTTTACATAAGACTCATCTACTCATATTTTAATTAGTAAATATTGATTAACTAACAAAATTTGTTTTGATAATGATGTCATGAGAAATTAATTTTTTTAATTATAAAAATAAACAATTTTAAAATTGAGAGAAAATTATTATATTTAGCAAATGTCGAATTTTTTTATAAATATGTTAAATTTTAATTATTTATTTAAATAACCTGGGCTAATTTTTATTTACCTAAATAACTTATTTTCTCAATAGGATTTTAAAAAAAAAAAAATCAAAATCTCATTGAGAATCGAGTTCTCACTTGGGTTTTTTTTTTCTTTCAGAATTTAAAAAATAAAAAAATAAATTATTTTAATTTTTTGAATATGAAAAATATGTTTAATATTTGAATTAAATAATTATTAAAGAATAATATTTAAAAATGAAATTAATATTATACTTATTTTAAAAAAAAATTAATTTTAGAATTTTAAAATTGATTTTATCATTTAAATTAATTAAATAAATGACAATATTATTTTATTAAATATTAATGACATTATATATTAAGTACAATAACTATAATAATTAGATCATTAAAAAAAATAATTTAAACAAACTTCAAACATAGTAGATGAATAATATAAATTCTAAATTATATAACATTAGTTGTCTAATTTCATTATTTAGTTAAGGTATCTTTTAATTGCTTTTATTATTTGTCCTTATTTAAAATTATAAACTTTAAATTAAATTATTTCTATTTTTTAAATAAATTTATTTTTTAATAAAATAATTAAATTTTAACATTATCTTTATTTTAAACATAAATTTAAAATATTATACATAAATTTAAAAATTAAAATTAATTATAATTTTTTTTAAGAAATCTGAAAATCTGAAAATCTGAAAATCAAAAAATAAAAAACAAAACAAATATTTTTTTAAAAAATTCTGAAAATTTAAAAACGAAAAAAAAATCCAAGTGAGAAATCGGTTACTAGGATTTCTCAATGGGATTTTGAATTTCTCAGTTGGCCACAAAATGGTTTTACATAAATAAAAATTAGTTTAAGTTACTTAAATAAATAATTTTAAAAATAATATATTTATAAAAAAAAAAGTCGCAAATGCCATTTTCATTCAATTAATTACTTGTCATCCTTTGGGAGAATTTTACACATGGGATGCATCCTAAAGCATTAAAGCGCCTTATAAATGTAAGGTTTTGCGAAAAAAATGAAGTGAGCCAAACCCATCGCACCGAGTCCAGCAAGTGGCAAGTAAAAGTAATCGATATGGACCTTATTGAGATTACTAGAAAACCAACCATCTTTGCCAGTCACTTGTTCTATCACTGAAATTAGAGAACTATCTATTATTTCACAAAATCTAGTATTCAAAACAATATATTGAAATTTCTATATTTTTTAATACGAATAAATTTTTATTAAGTAAAAAAATATTAATTAAATATCATTAGATCTTGATAAACTCTTAAATAGTCACACCTATCTTAATGAAATGCTACCAAATTTTGATAAATTATTAAAAAATTCAAATTATCTTCATCAATTACGGCATAACTTTTATATATTAAAAAAGTCTTTAAATATTAGAAAGAAATTTTTACAATAATTTTTTCAATTTTTTATTGAAATCCTCCCTTAAACTTTTAAATATATTTTCCATAATATAGTTCGTATATCTAAAAAAATGATATTTAATATAAATGGATAATATATTTTTTTCCTAATATCTTTGATAATAAAAAACAAATTTAATGAAGATATGAACTCATTAGTTGGAATTACATGAAATAGTGATCTTGAATAAACTCAATATGATAAATTAAAAAAAAACTTATAATATAAAGAAAGTAGAATGGTAGATTTATTAATTTTTTTCCATGAATCATTAGAGAAAATCTTAATATTTATTTTATTTTGATGTACTTTGTGTACATATATTTTTACTTAATAATTTTTTATAATAATATATAAAAATATTTAGGAAAAATATAAAATAAATTTATTTGACTAAAAAATTAATTTATTATTGATAAATTTTTTAACTAAATGCATGGATAAACCGACTAATATTTAGAATTTAAGTAATTTGAAAAGAATATTGGGCTTGACTTATTTTATTTAGTTGTTCAATGAATTAATGGTTTGAAAATGTTGACCAAATGGTTATTTACTTTTTTTTTTTCATTTTTTTTTTTCATTCTATCTAGTTCTGAATTAAACATTTTAAAAGTAATAATACTAAAATGTACCTAAATCGAGACAATATTTTTTACACTTGTATAGAATTTAGTATAAGATTTCAAATTAGTGATTTGAAATGTTGAAATATAATTAGAAAAATATGAATATTTATTCCGATAATTAATTTTAAAAGTTTGTTTTAAAATCGATTCGGAATTAAATTGAATTCTGTCCATAAACCAATTTTTTTATTGTAAAAGAAGCTTAACGAAAATCATTTAATTTCAAAATTTTAAAATTCAATCCACTTATTTATATTTGGTTGGTTGTAAATTGAATTCTGATTTGATTTTGAATATAAATCCAAACCCCTACTAATAGATTCAGATCCACAAAATTTCCCCGATTATAATATCAAGTTGAATCGGAGCCAGGTTAAACTATAAGGCGATTTCATATATGTATTAGGTTGATAGTTCAAGTGTGTGCTGAAATGCAAACAAAACCAATTTTTACTGCGAAAGGAAGTTGGAATTTTTCTCCGACCCGATCTTCCTGCAGAAAGGAGAGGGAACCAAAATAACGTTCTTATCACCCAATGTCTCTCACTTCCTAATTAGAATTGGTTTAGATTTAAATTGAATGCTCAATTTGTGAAGCATATTTAATATTGTGCCTATGGTAAGACTCGCAGTGGTACGTTTGCCGAGTTGGATGAGATTTAATAAGAGTTTTACAGAAGCTAAGCTGACACAAATTAAATATAGTTGATTACAAGGAGTGGAAAACACGATTGATAAACCTACTGTATGCAAAGTTAGAAACCTAGAGAGTGAAAATATGATACTAGTGGAAAAGTTATTGGGTTTAGCAAGTATGGTGAAGTCGTTGAGCCAAATAAACGAGATGCCAAGTAAGAGACATGAGATTGATGATATTGAGAAGTGAGGAATATGAGTTGAATTTCTTTAGCTTGTCATTGAGCTTGATTATCCTTGATCTGACTGCATCCTGCTCTGCGGTGCCGGTGCCACTGCCACTGCCACTCATGCCTCTTCCCTCCTCTTTTTCTATCTTTATCCTTTCGAACATCAACTGATCATTAAGAAGGAAAGAGATTTCATTGTTTCACTATGTACAATAATTGAGTAATATCAAATTGGAAAGGTGAAAGGTGGTAGTGGTACCTTGGTGGCCCGAGGCTCCAAGTAAAAGGAATTGAGCAAGAGTGTGAGAAGCGAGGCGAGGAGATTATATAGTTGCAACATGTCAGCGTTGTTGGAAAGAAGGCTGTTTCGGTGGCCCAAGACATGGCCCAACAAAGCTAGCGCGATGCTATAAGTCATGGCCCTGAAATAAACGGGGTATATTTTACTTTGCAGCACTGCAAAGTGTTGCCTGGGCATAGCCCTAGACTGGACGTAGCTGGAGATAAAAGTAACCCAGACACACATTCCATAGGCCGTTGCAAAGCCCAACAAATTAGGCAGGCCCATGAAAGAATTGAAGGTCTCCGGGCCAAGGGATCGTATTGTCTCCCTGGCCTCTGAGACGTTGCTAGCCACGTGGTCCTTTATGGTTTGGACGTATTCATTGGTCTTCCCAAGCGCATCGGAAAGTGCTTCCTTCTTCTTGTGGAGGGCATGGGCGATTTTGTGCTTACAAAGGAGGTCTTTGGGAAAGGGAGTTGGGATGGCGGATGCGTCATGTTGGGGTTGGGAGGAGTATGAGATCTTGGTGTTGTGTTGGCCACCTTGGTCGTATTCAACAACCACTACTCTGTGGCCTTCTTTCACGATGGTATTGCCTCCTTCTCCTTGCTTCTCTCTACTGGGATTCGGAGAGAATACGCCCGCTGCTGCCAGCGAACTCACCACTAGACTCAGCCCTAAAACATTCATCATTTTACCACTTCCGCTAACTCTGCTCCCTTCTATTCCCTTTTAACTCTTCCACGTTGCATGCTCCACTGTTATTACAACCCGCCACGTGTCCTGCGCCTTCGCCTGTTGCCCACGTGTCCCATTCTACACTCTACCACATTCATTTCTTCTCTCCTTTTTATTCATTACCATAAAACCATCCTTATGCCTAACAATCCAATTTGTTTGGAATCATATTAAATATTAAGCGTGATGTTGGGCTGGGAGTGGAGCCCAACATAACAGCCCAACCCAGCAATATAATTTAACAAAAGTGGTCCCTTTCCTTTGTTTGTGGTTGTATGGTGTTCTTTCCGGAATTTGACCCTAGGGATGATCCTTCCAGTAAGATCGGTGAGCCTCCTTTGCTGATGTATTGGTGCTCTAAGATGGGGGAAGTACCTGCAAAAGAGACTCCGATGTCAAAGTTAGTTTTTGTGGGAGTATGAGTCTCGTATAAATAATGCACATACCTTTCTGTGAATTAAGGTTGTCTTGGGCCTTGGGTCTGAGATAAGATATGATATGATAAGAGATCATATGATATGATATGATAAGATATCATATGCATATGATATGATGAGATATGATATGATATAATTGGAGGGCGGTTCTGATCTGGAACGAAATCCCCGGGTTCGGGAATGATCTACCCAAATACCAGGTCCTAAATACCAGGCTGACATTGCTCAGTGTATGTCCGGAGTGGCTTTGTATCACTAATCCGAACTCGGAGCCCGAATGCGAAGTACGGTCATTACATATGGTAACCCTTTTAATTAAGGGTGGATTAGAGAATGGTCCCCAGAAGCCATAAAATTGGTATACATTGTTTAGGTATTTGTGTATTTGACAGGATGTATATGGACGTACTACTTTTTCCAATTTCTATTTACTTTATTGGAGTATATGTATATATATTCTTGAGGTCCAGTACCAGATAGATAGATTATAGATATAAAGAGGAAGAGAATGAGAGAGCAAAAAAGCTGTCATGTCATGTGCATGTGGAGCTAATTAACCTATTCCATTTCCTAATACTTTAGAAACAACACGTTCCATCGATACGACACCATACATCACTTTCAGGATTTCATTTATTCACATTAATAACAGATTTTTTAAGAAACCAGTGCCTGTATTCGATCTGTTCACATCTACCTCAATCATTCATCTAAGGAAAACTATTATTATTTGGAAATTGCTGTTATCTTAAACACTTGTGTGCTCCACTTTATGGTCCATTTGAATATGATGTAAAGCTTCTTTCTATTTTTGTATCATTAAATAAATTAATAAGATACTAAAACAATGTCAAATACAAATATTACTACTTCCATCCCCATATAACTGATCTTTATGGATTTATATTAAAATTAAGATTTTATTATAATGGTTATTTTAAGAATATTTGTAGTAGAAATAATAACAAAATTATTTAATAAAATATAATAGTCAATACATTAAAACATAACATTTTATTTAATATTTTAATTTTAAACCCTTCGTAAATTCAAAAATTATATAATGATTGGATTTCACAGCTACCTTTTGTTCTCAAACTTTCTTTCTATTTGCTTTAGATGTCTTTTCAATCTTGGGCTCAGAAAGGAATTCAAGTATCCTTTCCTCACATACACAACTACACAACAGAATCAGTGATACAAAACTCTAAAAACTGGCTAAATAATTAATTAAAACTATATATATATATATACAAAAGATTTTTCACAGAAAAAGGGAATTGACTACCATGAAGTATTCTCGCCTGTGGTAAAACATAAGACTATTCGAGTTCGGTTGGCTATGGTGAGTGCTTTGGATATTTAGAAGAGCATATTTACATTTCACAGCCAGATGGATTCCTTAAGGTCGAAAAAGAGAACCATGTGTGTTTGCTGAAAAAATCCTTGTATGGTTTAAAACAGAGTCCGAGGCAGTGGTACAAGAGGTTTGATGCTTTTATGATTTCCTATAATTTTGTTTGAAATGAGTTTGATAACTGTGTTTATAGTAGGAAGCTATCAAATGCTTCTTATATATATATATATATATATATATGAACATATACACATTGTACAAGTACCTAAACAGTAATTGCCTAATTAAACTGAGTCCAATCCCGCAACAACACTAAATCCCAACAAATATTGATAAACCCGACGATTAGGGTATTGTTATTTACAGGGATTGGAGTAATATGACTCAATTCAACTATATGTAATTACTATAATGGTTATCAAAATGTATTGTCATGGACACGATTGCTAAAATTAAAGTACTTGAAAATAAACTAATACTGTATTTACGAGTTCTCAAACAATTATAAGTTTATAACAATGGTGGTAAGACTAGTTAAGTATTTGAAATTGTGTATTTATCCTATATATACTCCCAAAATTCAATAATATATATGGATTAGAAGTTCATAATGCAATTAAACTCAATTCATTTTATTGTTTAGTTAGTATATAAATTTTTCTTTTTATTAGTATAAATATTTTTAATTAATTAAAGTAATTATGATATATCACTAATACACACTAACAAAAGTTGGTTCAATAGGCAAGGAATGAATTTATTTCCTAACAGAATGTGAGTTTAATTTTTAGCGATGTGAAAATTTTGTTAATAAATAATTTTATTTATAGATAATTTATAAGTATCTTTATAAATTCTTATAGAATTTTATGATTTACTTTATCCTATCTTGGTGAGTTCTTAGAACCCAACTCAATTAAACTTTTTTATGTTAGAAAAAAAATATAGTAATACAATTATGTTTGACAATAACAATATAATACATTGATGGTATACTATAATATTTTTATATAATAGTGGGCTTTTCTGTTAATATAATGTACTGGTAGATGTAATACCTATATAAACATTCGTACTTCTATAAAATTAAGTGTGCACTAATACAATAGTAAATTTTACAAATAAATATATAATTTATTTTTGGCAATATTAATACAAATTTTAACTTATTCATAAAATTAAAAATGGGACCTGAATATTATTTAATAACTTGCATAAAATACATGTAGCCATTAGCAGAAATGAGGTTAAGTTTAATTCGACAAGTAATGTAGTCCCTTAGCCGTACCATTGCTGGTCACTTACCAACCTATTATCATCAAATTATAATTTAGGATTAGTTAACTCAATTTTTGAAAAATTAGTTTAGCTTATTATCAATGTAAAGTTTTTTTTGTTAGCCTTACAACAATAAAAGTATTCTATATGATATGATAAATTAATACTATGAATTAATACTATGAATTACTCATCATAAAAATTAAAACCATGAATTTTCAATGGATATTTTAGAAAGAAGAATATCCGGTTTGAAACGCAAATAATAGAAGTTAAATAGTGGTAGGTCACATGGTATTTTTTGCTCTCTGTCAATGGATATTTCCATTTCCGTGGGGGATTAGGGCAATATTTGGATGCTGAAAAGTTATGCCTCTTTGTACTTATCCTGTATAGATGTAACTTTATAATTATGCAATCCAACAAATCAAAGAAAGGAAAGGCACAGAGACACGCAATAGAATGCTGTACTTCTCTTTTGGATTGGACGTGCACACAAACCTTAGCTATTAAGGAAGCTGTTCTCTTCTGCATTAGTGTATATTTTTATATTCAGTTAATCACACAAGTGATCCTTACACATGCACATGTGAAAAAAAAAATACACAAATTTTGACCCATGTTTAAACGTGTCAAGAGAACCATAAAACATGTGTCTCAGTTTGGTCTGAGCTCTGAGGTTAAGGGGTTGCACACAAGGGGCTTTTATTTTGATTCTTTGCTTATGGGGTGAGGGGGTAGCATTCGGGTTGTGTTGCTGGTGTTCATTAAACAATATATTTTTTACAAAAATTAAAAGGAATAGAAAAGAATAAATGAAATGAGGAATGGAGTAAAGGACACCGTAAATGCGAAACCGACATGCACGTTTCCAAGTGGAAAATAGAAAGGTTTGGGACCATATATGACAAAAGCAAACCTGCCCACTTTGAAGTTTGTCTCAAATTTAGCTTACTCTAATTCACCCATGCCTTTCATAATAAACTTCTTTCAATTTCTAATAGCATTGTATTTTAACTTTCAGCTTTATAAGATTTGACTATCTGTATTAAATTTACATGACTAGAGATTCTTTTTATTGAATTAGGCAAGTTTATTTTATTATCGATTTAAATATGTTTTGGTTCTGTTTAGTAGCTTCATGCCAAACTGATTTAAACAAGATTTATATGAATTTATTGTGTAATTGACTAATTGAAATCTTGTTCAACACAAATTTATTAATATGGTATTTTTAAACTTATTGAAAATGAAAGAATTACTTTTAAAATGTAGAAGTTATAATTATTAGTTTCTAAAGATCACACCATGTTAGAAATTGTTGTGATATAAATCGAGTCTCATATTTTTAAAATAAAAATACATATATATTTTATTGTTTAAATTTTTTGAATAATGACAAAAATAAAATTATGAAAATTTAATTCTAAAGTACATAATATTTTATTATTATAAAGAATTGTATGTGTATAAAATAGTCTTAAATATCTTAATAAAAATAATATAATATAATTATTCACTTAATATAAATATATCTCTTAAAAAACAAATATTATTATACGAGTAAGAATGAGAATAGGTTAGATTAGGTCGAACTTTAAATATATAGGCTGGCTTGATCTACAAAGTTAAAGTCTAAACCAGACCTATTATTTAGCATAGACTTTTTTTATAGATCTGATCTGACTTTTTAAAGTTTAGTTTGATCTTTTAACCTATTTAAAAATTTATTTAAATTATTTATGTTAATTAGATCAATAAACTTAATTTTTAAAAATAAACAAAATTATTTTTTAAATATAATTTATTTAATATTATTAAATTTTAAAAAAAATATAGAAAAAAATTGAATCATTTTTTTTAAAGAACAATTCATACATAATCATGA